CCAGAGATTAAGATTACCTAAATATTAAAACTAAATTTTTAAAATTAGGTAATACATTGGGAAGTGAACCATCATATCGATAACAAAAAGCTTCCGAAGGACTTTAGATATGTAAAATAAGTATGTGTAAATATTTACAGAAATAAGAGATAGAATAAAACATGGAAAGAAACAAGATACTATCTACATAATCTGGTAGATAGGAACTGTATATTCTAGAATTTAATAATAATCTATCTGACAAGAACAGAATATAAAATGTTCTCATTCATTCCCCAATTACAAGAAAGGACTGACTGTTCTTTGACATTAGTTAGCTAATCCCTTAACTATACTGTGAAATTCAGCAAATCCGTAAACACTCCAGCTTTTTAAAAGCCTCTGAACCTCCCCAAAGCCTGATACAATACCAACTCTTTGCTTTGTTTCAAGATCCTGTATCTAACAAGGATAGTTCTCCCTTGCTTATTGAGTAATAAATTAAACTTTATTCCAGACATACTGAATGGGTTTTAGTTTTAGGTATTTTCAGTGGTGGTATCTTCCTTAAGGGAATTCAATAGGTTTATTTAACAGCAAATGACAGGACTAGAATAAGAATATGGGTAAACAAAAAGTATCCACCTGAAGCACAGAAATTTTAAAAATTAAGAAGAGAAGAAAAAGAAGAGATAGTGGGACACCAAGAAAAGTTCCAATAACTGGAATTAAGGAAGAGAAAAAAGGGGGACAAAGTAATTTTTTGAAGAGACAGTAACTAAGAATTTTCCAGAATTAATGAATGACATCTACTTGAGGATTAAGCTATAAATACAAAGAAAACCACTCCTAGGAATACCATAATAAAACTTTTGGATACCCAAACAAAGAGAAAATCTTAAAATAATCATTCACATTCATGGATTAAAATACTCTATATTTTAAATATATCAATTCTACCCAAACTGATCTACAGATACAAAACAATCCCAACAACTTTTTTGGTGAAAATTGATAAGTGATATCCATAATTTAGAGGCAATGCAAAGAGCCAACAATAATAAAAAAATGTTTTTAAATGAAGCTATATGCTACCTTATACCAAAATAGCTTTATAAATTTACAGTAATTTAGAAGTATGGTACCAGCAAGAAGACTGGCAGTCAGACAAATATTAATAAAACAAATAAATTATCTATATCTACACTGTCCCATATGCTAGCCACTAGACACATCTGGCTATTTAAATTACATTAATTAAAATTAGCTAAAACTAAAAATTCAGAGGAGGGTAAAAGGATGATAAATGGTGAGGGAAGGAGACTTGACTTGGGGTGGTGAACACACAGTACAATATACAGATGATGTCTTATAGAACTGCACACCTAAAACTTACATAGTTTTATTAACCAATGTCACTCCAATAAATTCAACAAAAATGAAAAATTCAGTCTTTAGTTACACTGGTCACATTTCAAGAAATCAGTAGCCATGCATACCTAATAACTATGAAATTAAACAGTAAAGATACAAACATTTCTACCATAGCAGAAAGTTCCACTAGAGAGCACTTAAATAGAAAGATACACATAAGATAACTTGATTTATGACAAGACACTCTAGTGCAGTGGAGAAAACTTGGTCTTTTCAAAAGTGTGATGAGTCAATCAGACATCCATATACAAAATTAAATAAATAATCAGTAACTAATCAAGCCTGCCCCTTAACTCATGCCATGTAAAAAATTCAAATCCAGGTGGACTGTGGATCAAATTTGTAAAAAATAAAACAGTAAAGTTTTTAGGACAAAACATAGGAAATTATCTTCACAACCTTGAGGTAGACAAATATTTCTAAAATAGGGTGCAAAAAATGTCAGGCATAAAAGAGAAACTGATAAAGAGTATTTAAGATGACATTAAAATTGAGAACATCTCCTTACAAGACATTATGAAAAGAGTGAAAAAGTCATAGCCTGAGAAAAAGTATTTGCAACATGTCTACCTGACAAAAGACTCAATAAAAATATAAATCTCACAAAAGACTCCTAGAAAACAACAAGAAAAGGGTAGACAGAAAACTCAGTAGGAAAATGGATAAGACATGAATGGGTGCTTAACAAAAGAGAATGTCCAAATGGCTAATAAGTATATGAAAATGTGTTAAACTTCATTTGTTATCAGAAAGATGTAAATAAAAACCGCAATAAATATTACTACATAATTACCAGAATACCAAAAATGAAATTAAATATAGACAGTATCAAGTGTTGGTAAGGATATAGTATAACTGGAACTCTTAGACACCATAATAGAAGTATAAATTGGTACAATCACTTTAAAAAATGTTTGGATGAGTTTAGGGGTTGAACTATGCCCCCCAATTCCTATGATGAAGTCCTAGAACACATTGCCTCAGAATGTGAACTAATTTGGCAATAGGATTATTGCAGATCTAATTAGTTAAAATAAGGCCATTGGGGTGGTCTCTAATCCAATATAACTGGTATCCTTTTAAAAAGGAAAAATTTTGGCCTGGCAGGTATGGCTTGGTTTGTTGGAACACTGTCCCATAACCTAAGGGCTGTGGTTTGATTCCTGTCAGGGTGCATGCCTGGTTGCTGGTTCAAAACCTTGTCCAGAAATGTGCAGGAGGCAATGGGCTGCTGTTTCTCTCTCACATTGATGTTTCTCTCTCTCTCCCTTTCTCTCTCCTTCCCTCTCTCGTTCTAAAAGCAATGAAAAAAATGTCCTTTGTTGAGGATAAAAAAATGTGTTAGGGGAAAATTTTGACATGAATAGAAGGAAAATGATGTGAAAAGCCATTGGAAATGGCTGTGTAGACAGCCATCTACAAGTAAAGGAATAAGACTTAGAGGAGAACCTTTCCAAACAACCTTGGGAAGAAATCAATCCCAGCAAACCTTAATTTCGGACTTCTAGCCTCTAGAACTGTGAGGCAATAAATTTCTGTTGTTTAAGCCATCTACTTGTGGTAGTTACTTCATTAAGACAGACCTGGCAAAATATACTTAGTAGTATCTACTTAGTGGAATACATGCATATTTTATGACCCAACAATTTCTCTCCTTGGTATACATACAAGAGAAATGTTCCTACATTTACCAAAAGATGTGTATAAGAATGTTCATAGTGTTGTTTTTATAAAAGCTCGAAACTAAAAACAACCCATATGCTCATCAACTGTAGACTCAATATAAGTCAATCATGGTACATTTACACAATAAAATTTTATAATATATGGAAATGCAAATGAAACAACTACAACCAAATATAACAATGTGGAAGGATCTCACAATGATGCTGAGTGAAAGAAGTCAGACACAAAAAAGTATATGTATATATATACACATATATAAGTACATAAACATATATATTTATATGTGTGTATATATATAATTACAATGATATAGTTGAACATGTAAAAGTAATTTATGGTGTTAGAAGTCAGGATAGTGGTGCCTCTGGAGAGGAGGCAGGTAGTAGTGATTAGGAGGGGGCAAGAAGAAGATTTCTGGGACACTAGTAATGTAATTCTATTTCTTGATCTGGGTGATGGCTATTCTGTGAAAATTCTTCAAGTTGTACACTTATGATCCTCACACTTTTCTTAGTTTTTTACAAGTTCAGTAGATGAGTTAAACAGCATAATCATGTACTATAAGAGGGATCTTTAAAAACAGACATAATGTAACACAGAAAATATAAGAAACACTAAATAGTTGGGAGTGAAAAGGTCAAGTATAAGTCTAATTCAAATTGCAGAAAATAATAGAGAGAATCGGTAAGAATCAATATTTGAAGAAGTAATAACTGAGAATTTTTCAGAATCAACATGATACAAATCCCAAATTAAAAATGTACAATAATCCCAAATAGGATTTAAAAAATACTAAATGCATTATAGTGAAACTGCAGAACTCCAAAGACAAAGAGAAAAACCTTAAAATAACATACAGACAAGAGATCTACAAAGCAATGAAAATTAGAGTAATTCCTTGGTGGGGTTTTGTTAACCCCCTCCCCCCAGTAATACAATGAACACACTTACACGACCAGATTCACTGTTAACATTTTGGCTGACCCATTCAAAGTTTTTCTAAACATACACAGATCCTTCCCTTTCGTGAAAATGTAGAAAGTAGGATGAAGATAGTAGGATTCCCCCCCACCTTCAAATTCTTTATCATCCCAGAACAAGAACATTCTTCTATTCAACTGCAATACCATTACCTCACCTAAGATAATCAACATTAATTCAATAGCATCACTATAATACAGCCCAGATAAAATTTTCCCAGTTATCCTAAAAAAATGTCCTCTAAAGTTTATCTTTCCACTTATCCAGGACCTAATCAAAGTTTATGCTTTACTTTCAGATATTCTAGCTCTTATTTATCTCTCAATTGAAAACATTCTCACCACTGCCCTAGGTTTTTCATGACATTGAATCATTTGAAGACTTCAGGTCAGTTGTCCTGAAAAAATGGCCTACATTCTGAACTTGTTTGACTGCTTCCTTATGATTATCAGCTCAAGTATTTCCAGAAAGAACACTGCTAAGGAATGTTGCATATGTCCCATGCACCACATTATGCCTGAAGGTGTCCTGCTACTTGGTGATATTAATATTAGTCATTTTGTAATTTTTTATTTTGTAATAAGTCACCTGTAGGATAATATTTTGAGACTCAAGAGCACATTTTTTCCTGTCAACTGTAGAAACCAGAAGACAGCAGACTATAACTTCCAAAGTGCTAAGAAAAAAATATAGCTATCGAAGTAGAGCTATATGCCAACCAAAATATCACTCATGAATAAAGGCAAAATAAATTATACCCTGAAATTATTATTTCATGATGCAGCAAAATAAAATTAATGGAAGACTCTGTACACACACACACACACACACACACACACACAAAGCTTTGCACAGAGCTTTGTTTTTTACATTTGCCAGGGATTTAACATTTTTAGCATGTCTTCAAAAAAATACCTTACCTGCCATCTCTTCTAAGGGCAAAAGTAATGCCGTCTTTCTGAAAAGGAAGCAGCTTTGCTCTTAGTTTGTCAGGCAAATAATCCAGCTGTTTATAAGATTCACTTGTCAAACAGGAAATCTGATATGCAAGAGGCTTTTTTATATTATGAAGTCTAGGCATGATGATCCTAAAAATTAAAGAAATCACAAAAGGGAAGGGATTGGGAAAATAGATATTACTAAGTGTATGAGAGAATTAAACATAAATAATATTAACATACTTATCTTAAACATACTATCTTAAAGATAGTTTATTAAGACTACTGAGTCTTAATAAACTATCTACATAGATATAAATTAAATGATGTTCCCAGAGTAAGCTACTAGAAAACTTAGAGCACTGAGTCAAAAAACAATTACTTAATTCACTATCTAAAAACTCAGCATCCTGTATTTCATTTGTATTTGTAATTGAGCCATAATATAGCCATAACCCTATTTTAATAAGCAATAAATACATTACTTAAAAGTTATAAATCAACTATATTTTTTACCAACTGAATAACTTAAAATAAAGGAAATCCTATAAAAGAGGAACCCTTCATAATTTATAGATGTACATTTTTATATCACACCATATTTTCTAAGATTGGAATGAATCTTAAGAATTCAACAAGTATTTATTAATTTAAAAATAGGCACTACAAGCCACAATCTGGAGGACCACACCTTCACAGAGGGGAGACCAAAAATAATCAAGATATTAACTACAGTACAGTACAAATATTATAACACTTAGAGCAATGGCCACTTCAGTTAGGCTGACCAGCAAAAGCCTCTCTTGGGTTATGCTTGGTCTACAGTCTTAAGATGGGACAGAGAGAGCCAGGTTCAAAACTAAGAAGAGCAGTGCCAATAGACAGCATCAGCAAAGGGCCTGAGTTAAGAAATGGCTCAGTGTTTTCTAGCAACAGAAAAGAAGCCAATGTGGCTGAAACAAAAGAAAGAACAGTATGAAATGAATATATTCAAGAGTCAAATCACATAAGACCTTGATAAGGGCTTCGGATTCTATTTTACGAATGAAAGGCTGCCGAGGTTCCCAAGATGGCTGCAGAGTAGCTGGAAGCTCCATACACTTGCTCCCAGCTCGGGACAGGTCTTGCCCCTAAACCGTAGAGCGATCAACTCGAAAATCCTGCTGAGTGTGAGAGCAGGAGTGACCATGTGTGCAGATGACTGTGCAGGTGGGCAAGTGCCTGCCCACCTGTGAGGATACTCAGGGGTTGGTGACCTGGGCTCTCCTGTAGAGCTGCTGCTGCCAGTGGCAGGCCAGCACAGCATGTCTGCCTGTGCAGATTTTGAGTGGGAACCATTTTGTGGAAGTTACAATATCCCCCTCTGGAAGAATAAACTGGAGCAGCCTCACCTTAGCACCCAGACTTGTCTCTGTGCCCTCCACCCTGGACAGGGACGCACACCCTGCCTCCACAAGGAGCCAGGGTCTGGGGCCTGTGATACTTGCTGGGGAGGGGGCTGTCGCCTCCCTGGCCCCAGGCGCTGCTAGAACTACAAACGGGACAGAGACTAACTGAGGAGGTTGCTGCTGGAATGAGGAGCCAGGAGCGCCAGGGGTAGAGAGAGGCGGCTGGGGCAGCGCTGGCTGCTGAGACCCTGGCTGAAGCATAGCAGCGAGAACCTGATGCTGAGACTCCCTGGAGGGAGTGGCGTGACAGCCGTTCCACTGTCCATAGTTACAGTTTTGCTGCTAGACTCTTCCCTTGTTTCCCCTACCCCATGAGGATGATATAAGACTTGAAAGAAGACAGTGCATATAGGATATAAGCTATCGAGTTGGGAGAGAGCGGGAGAGGCATTGGTGTGAGAGACAAGCCTCGATAGGTGACCTCCTATATGTGCAGGGACTGGGAACCCAAAACACACTTAGAAGCTCTCTCAAGGCAGAGGCAGTCATGGGAAATGTGGAGCCCCTTAGCAAGATAGAGGAAGGTTCCCAACAAGGAATAGGCTAATAAAAATCAGGGCCCAAATACAACAGGAGAGTCCCAAAAACCCACACAAGGGCTATTCCTAGAGCATCCAGAACAGGAGATCAAGGAGTCTGCACCGTGCATGCTCTCTGCTCTGGGAAGAGACAAAAACCTCTAGAGAAAAAACTTACTACCTTTTCTGTTTTTCTTTAAAGGGCAAAGCAAAGGTTTTGTGTTTGCAGCTACCCAGTTTGGGCCTGAGGAAGAGAGGGTGGTACAAACTGGAGTCAGGAGAGAAGAGTCTGGAGTGGGAAGATTGGGGAGAGTCTTGGGGGAGTGGCTGTGGGATTTTTCAGGGTTGGATATACCTGGGCTCCATAGCAGCCATCTTTCTTGAGAAGAGCTAGCCCCTCCCAGGAAAAAATCAATTACCTTGCCCTGTGGGATACTACTGCTTCCACCCTCTGGAAATCCCCTCACTACAACCTCTGATATCCTGTTTGTTCCACTCAGCAAGTTTTTTTTTTATTCTTTTTTCAGTTTTGCTCTGTGTTGGTGTTCTGTTTTGTTTGGGTTTTCTTTCTTTCTTTTCTCCCATCCTGTCTTTAACTCTTGCTGAGGAGACAGCAACATAAACAGACTCGGGGGTTGTCAGAGAGTGGCGGCAGGGTGCAATGAATCCATACACTATCCTGAGAAACAGTCTGGTGTTCCCCCTATTAGGAGAGCTAAGGAAATGCCTTCCTGGCACCAGGCAGACAGAAAATCTGGGCTTTGGAGCCTACTGGGGCCCTGCCCTACAGCGTATAGGGAAATAATCCTGGGCAGACTCAGACTAGTGACTCAGAGGAGGGGGTACACACCCACAATCTTCCAGAAGTCTAAAAGGTACCTGCTATGGGAGATCCAAGAATCACTGCCACCTGTTTCTACCAGGAGCCCACTCAAAATAGTGAGGTCTGCAATTGGTCTTAAAGTTGACAGCAGGCCAGCAGGCAGAGACAGGCAGAGGTGGATCCTGTGGAGATTTGAAACATTTGCTGACACACTGCTAGACCCTAATAAAAGCCGGCTTTGCAAAGCAGCTTGGCTCACCCCAGGAGCTGCCAACACTGGAGGAATATGCCACAAACTGTGGACTACCTGTAGCTTTGAGGTGGCTGAGGGCCACACCACCAGGCATTGGCTTGCACCAGACTCAGACATCAGAAAGGTATCCAAAGGGAGAAAACAGAAGGCAATATCTAAATTATGCTGAGAAAAATCCACTTGGTTCTTTTTTCATTATCTTATTTTTTCTTTTTCATAGCCTTTTTACTTATCTTTTTCTTTTTCTTTTATTTTTGGTATCCTCATTTTTCTTTCATGTCACGTATTCTACTCTTATCTTTGATTACCCCTACTGTTTTCCTTCTTCTCCCCTTTTAGTATTTTTGTTACCTTTTCTGTGTTCCATTTCCCTGTTTTCCTCTTTCAGTTCATTATAAGTAGTTCTCTTCCCCTTCTCCTTTCATGATCACTGTTCTTTCCTTTGGTCTCATATTCTTTTTCCTTTTCCCCTTTCTCTACTATTATATTTTGCTTTCTGTTGTTATTATCCTTTGCTCTCTTGTGCTTGATATTGCTGTGGTGGTCAGGAGGGCTCCTTGTTTTGGTGTTGTTTTTGTGTTTTTTGCTTTGTTCTGCCACCACCTATACAACAGCTTACAACATGTAGTAGGGATTGAGCCTCTTACTAGCCAGTCAGAGGGGAGTTCCCACCAACAAATGGGACAAATACAATAGGAAAGTCCACATAACCCACAGAGAGGTCATTCCTAGAGCATCCAGATCAGGAGATCAGAGTCTGCACCACTTGGTCCCACAGGACTCCTAACATACAAGGCTACTGCACAAGACAGAGAATCAAAGCAAATCAATCTAATACACAGAAATAAATACAGAAACAAGTACAATAGGGAGTCAAAAAGCAACCCCATAACAAAAGAAAGTGAGAAATCTCCAGAAAAAGCTAAGGGAAATCAAGGCCAGCAATTTATCAGACAGAGTTCAAAGTAATGGTTATAAAAATTTTCAAGTACCTTAGTTAGAACTATAAGGAACTCAATGGGACCTACAACAGCATGAAAAAGGACATAGAAATCTTGAGTAAGAACCAGTTAGAAATCAAGAATGTAATATATGATATGAAGAATATACTAGAATAAAATTGAAAGCAGGCTAGATAAAGCAGAGGATCAAATCAGTGAGTTGGAAGACAAAGCAGAAAAAATAGAACAACAACATGAAAAAAGACATGAAAAGAACAATAGATTATGGGAACTTAGGGACAACATGAAACAATATTCACATCATAGGGATATCAGAAGGAGAAGAAAAGAAGTGAGAGATAGAAAATCTGTTTGAAAAAATAATGACAGAAAATTCCCCTAACTTAGTGAGGGAAAATGTAATACAAGTCCAGGAACCATAGTGAGTCCCAATCAAGATGAACAACAAAACAAGCCCAGTCCAAGACACATTACAATCAAAATGACAAAATTTAGGACAAAGACAGAATCTTAAAGGCAGCAAGGGAGAAATAGCTAGTAACATAAATGGGAACTCCAATAAACTATCAGCTGATTTCTCAACATAAACACTACAAAACAGAAAGGACTGGCATGAATATTCCAAGTAATGAAAACCAGTGACCTCCAACCAAGACAATTCTATCCAAAGAGCTCTCATTTTAAATAGAAGGTGAAATAAAAAGCTTCACAGAAAAAGGATGGCTAAAAGAGTACATCTCCACCAAGCCATCACTGCAGGAGATGCTAAAGGGACTGCTTTAAGAAAGAATAGAGAGAGAAAGGAACACAGGTACAGAGGGGGGAAATGGTAATGAATAAGTATCTACCAATAATAACCTTAAATATTAATGGATTAAATGCTCCAATCAAAAGACATAGGGTAGCTGAATGGATTAGAAAACATGACCTGAACATATGCTGTCTAAAAGAGATCCATCTCAGAACAAAAGATCTGAAAGTGAAGGGATAGAAAAAAATATTCCAAGCAAACAGACATGAAAAAAAGGTGAGAGAGCAATATTTACATCAGACTAAGCAGACTTCAAACCAAAGGCCATGACAAGAGACAAAGCCACTACATAATATTTAATGGAGTAGTCCAACAGTTATAGAATATATAGTAGT